GCAGTCTATGGTTCGTACCCCTTGTTTGTTGCATGTCCAACAGTACAGTATTGGTTCTCTGTTGCATGTTCGGCTTTCGTGTCCGTTTTGTCCACATCGATGGCATTTTGGTAGTCTCCACTGTGGTCGTTGCCCCAGTGTCTGGTTATTCTGCTGAGTATTCGTCGTGGTTTTGGACAGGCCTGCATCTCTCTCCAGTTTCTCAAACTCCTCCGCTGTTATAATGAATTCCGATAGAGTCTGGAATTCTTTTCTTTTCACATAGAGTTTGATCGGTAGCCTACAATTCCGGTATGCCATGTCTAGTTTCTCGTTCTCGGTATACGTCCCGAACCTCATCAATTTCCGTAAGTCTTGTATGAATTCTCGTATGGTCTCTGTTTCAGCTTGTTTCCGTTCTGATACGAGTTGTATCAGTTCCTCATGGTATTGTGGTGACATGAAGGTTTCCTTTAACTGGCTTTTCACGTCCTCCCATGTCGTTATGGCGCCGGGCTTTGTGTGCCATCAGTCCAATGCACTCTTCTCCAGTATTACTGGCATTGCAAATACTATGTGGTCTACCTCGATCCCATATGTCTCTGCTAATTCCTCCACTCGGCTAAGGAATTCGAGTAGTTCTCCATTCCCCGTGAATGTGAGGTCCCACTTCCTTATTTTTTCTATTATGGCCACCGCTTCTGGTGAGCCTTTTCGTATCTGTTTTGGAAACAGTGTTCTCTTTTTTGCCGTTTTCGGTTCCCCTTGCGGGTTTTCCATAGCTGTTTTGGCTTGTGTTACTATCCGCGATGATTGTTTTGGTCTCCTGCCTCTTGTCTGGGTTGTTCCGAGCTGGTCCAGTCTCTCCATTATTTCCCTGCTGAGGTCCTTCCTTTCCGTGAATTGTATTAGTTTTTTCCGCAATATTTCCACTGCTTCGGTTTTTTCCAATCCAAATTCCTCGCAGTAGCTGATCAGCTCTGCTTTTGTCGCTTGATTGATCCATACTCTTGCCATCTTGACCATAAGATATTTTTACTTTACACTACCACAACCTGTTCGGGCGCCACTGTGACGTTGCTTCGACCGGGTTCACAGAAATTTGTTAGGTTTCTGGCTGTGGTAACTGAAAGGGGGACGTGTCTTCCTTCGGGATCTTCCTTCGGTTTTGGCTACTCGGCCGCACGTGGCTGTTTGCTACGTGCTGCGTAGGTTTGGAGGTCGAATGGCTCGAGGGTACTCGAGGCGGAGGTTTGAACACACTCCGAGGAGAAGATTGATGCGGAGGTTTGGACACGCTCCGAGGGGAAGATTGGTTCAGAGGTTTGGACACGCTCCGAGGAGAAGATTGATGCGGAGGTTTGAGCACACTCCGAGGAGAAGATTGATGCGGAGGTTTGGACAAGCTCCGAGGAGAAGATTGATGCGGAGGTTTGAACACACTCCGAGGAGAAGATTGATGCGGAGGTTTGGACACGCTCCGAGGAGAGGATTGATGCGGAGGTTTGGACACGCTCCGAGGAGAAGATTGATGCAGAGGTTTGGACACGCTCCGAGGAGAAGATTGATGCAGAGGTTTGGACACACTCTGGAGAGGATTCAGAGGTTTGGACACGCTCTGGAGAGGATTCAGAGGTTTGGACACACTCTGGAGAGGATTCAGAGGTTTGGACACACTCTGGCGAGGATTCAGAGGTTTGGACACACTCTGGCGAGGATTCAGAGGTTTGGACACACTCTGGAGAGGATTCAGAGGTTTGGACACACTCTGGCGAGGATTCAGAGGTTTGGACACACTCTGGAAAGGAGAGTTAAAGTATTGAGCAGAACGTAGATATTACCTTTATCACAAGATCCGCTGTAAAAATTCTGGTTTGTTAGGCCAGGGCTTTCCGAGTTGGACTGCCCCGATTCGATCTGGCGATCCTCCTTTTATTGCCGGGGATCAGCTGTTGGTGCCCTGATATGGGTCTAGCGCGTTTTGGTTTTTCCATAGCGCGTCCCGGCCCAGCTGTTAGTGTGACCGTGGTTCGGTGAATGTTGGCCACACTAGTCTTTGGCGCGCGCGCTGCTTTTTTTTTTAATTTGAACGTGGTGTCTCTTTATAGTTTTTATTAAGGAACTTAAGGGTTTTTTCGCTTACTCTAATCTTATTTATATGTATGAATGTACGAGTACATAATGTTTGACTATGTAAAGGAATAATATGGACTATATATGGCGCCGGCGCTTTGTGTGGTGGCGCTGGGCGTCACATGCGAACCGAGCATAAGTTTCTGGTGGTTCCAAACAATGCGATGGAATGTGATGGAATTTTGGGCTACGATTTCATTTAGAAGTTCACACTTATGACCGATTTAAACGGAGTCTCTTTTCTGAGCCTGGAACAGCAGAAAAAGTCGGAAGAAGAGTATAAAATGGTTTATAATGTCATCGAATTCGAAAGCAGTAATAAGTCAGCCGAAGTACCCAAAATATGTCCAATAGAGCTGAAGATCGTTCCAGATGGAGTTATGAAACCGTTTTGCCAGTCGCCAAGCCGTTTGTCTGGAGATGTAGCAGCATTTTGGGCAAATCGACGCCTCACGTAGCGAGCAGAATCGTAATAGTCAAGAAAAAAGATCACACGTTGAGAGTCTGCGTTGACAATCGGAAACTGAATAGCATGTTGTTGAAAGATCGCTTTCCCATGCCGATGATGGACGACGATCTGGAAAAACTCAAAGCAGCAAAGTTTTATGGACTTGGAAAACGGGTTTTTCCATGTGCCCGTGAAAGAGAAAAGCAGAGCTTATACTGCGTTTGTTACTCGTAAAGGACTTTTTGAATTCAACAAGGCGCCGTTCGGATTTACAAACTCTCCAGCAGCTTTCATACGGTTTGTAAATCACATATTCCAGCCGCTTATCAATGAAGACGTTATGCAGTAGAGCTGGGAAAAAAACCGATTCAAACATCGATATAATCGATTCTTTGGTTTTTGTGTAAACATCGATTCTTTTTTTTGGGAAATCGATGTTTCTTTGCGACCACTTGAAAAAGATTCCATCTCCAATTTACCACAATTTAACGGAAACTTGAGTGAAGCAAAAGGGTAAGAATAAAATTTAACTTTAAAAGCATTATTATACAATATTTTTGCATTTTCTTTGTGTAGAATCCGAGTGTGCTGGTACTCCGGTAGGAAGGGAGTAGAATTGATGTGTTTTTGCAGTTGCAAGGTAAATATTAACAAAATGCAGTGATGCGCATGGCGAAAAAAATGAGTCCGATTCGGAAGAGAATGACGAGCCATCGAGGAAAGAGAAATGTGGTAGGTCAACCGTATGGAACTACTTTAAGCGCTTGCAAGATGGAAACGCAAAATGTAAACAATGCGCTGGAATATATAAATCATGTGGGAATACGACGAATTTATTCAACCACTTAAAACGTGCGCACCCAACATTGATTGCGCTAATTCGAATGATGTGTATTGATATGCAGCCCTTTCGAATCGTTGAAGACTTCGGCTTTCGTTATATTGTCTACTGCTTGGACCCAAAATACATCTTGCCAAGTAGAAAAACATTATGCAATGTTCTCTTGAAAAACATGTATGATGAAATGGAAGCAAAGCTCAAAGAAATACTGGACGATGTGAAGCACTGTGCTGTGACAGCAGATGGCTGCACTTCTCGGGCCAATGACCATTACTTGACGGTTACATGCCATTTCATAGCAAGCAATTTTAAATTAAAAAGTGCTGTTTTGTCGACTGAGAAGCTGGTTAGAGATGCTGACCAAACGAGTGATAATATTGCCGAGTCGTTGCGAGCTGTCCTGACCAAATGGAATGTATTTAACAAAGTTTCAGCTATAGTAACTGATAACGCTGCTTCTATGGTGAAAGCATGTAGTTTGCTCCAAAAAAGACGTATGCCTTGTTTTGGACATACCCTTAATCTAATCATTCAAGATACCCTGATGCTGGCAAACATAAAATGTATTGTCTCCAAATGCAAGCGTATCGTCACGTTTTTCAAGAGCAGCTCAATAGCTTATTCTAAATTAAAATCTTCTCCGGGAAATGAAAACTCGTTCGGACTGATACAAAAAGTACCAACTCGTTGGAATAGCTGCTTCAAGATGATAAGCAGACTTTTAAAAATTAGAAACTCTGTATCTCAGGTTATTCTTGACACAAATAAAGCTCACCTCCATTGACAGCGGATGAGATTGCTGTGCTAAAAGACTGAGAGCTATTGTTTGAGCCATTTGATTCAGCTTCAAACCGGGTTTCAGCAAGCAGTAAAGAAACAATTTCTCTGGTTATTCCAATATCTGCCGATCTTCATCATCGTCTAAGTGTCATGGACCCTTCAATGAAAACTTCCCAAGGTATTGCAGCTTGTTACCATCTGCTGGATGGGATTAACCGCCGGCTGTTTGTCTACGAAACCAGAACCGTTCCTAAGATGGCAACGATATTGGATCCAAGTGTCAAAATTTTATTTTTATTTGAATAAACTAAGAAAATAATAATAATTTAATTTATATTTTATATTAATTTTAGAACCACGCAACTGAAATGGAACAATTAAAAGACTGTGCCTTAGAATATTTTTGCATTCCAGTATATTCAACGGAGTCTGAGAGGATGTTCAGCCGAGCTGGAATACTCCTTTCAGATAGACGAGCCTCCTTATTTATTTGCAGGCAGGAACCAGTGGGTTCTGGAGCAACAAAAGAAAACAATGGATCTAAAAAAAAAAAGTGTTTATATTCGATTTAATCGATTAAATCGATGTTTTTGTCTAAAAGATCGAAAAGAATCGATTCTGCGAAAATCGATTTTTTCCCAGCTCTATTATGCAGCTGTACATGGATGATATAATTATTTATGCCAACGACGTTGTTGGCCATCTTAAGAGATGGCCTATCGTCAATTCCAACTATCGATACATCATCAATTCCAACTATCGAAACATCATCGATAAGATCTTTGTCTCTTTTGTATGTAACATAGAGGTGGAGAAACATCGATGAAAACATCGATGCATCGATGTTTTTAAATTTTTTGGAAACATCGATGCTTTGTGGCAACCATCGATGTTTTTTCCGCGACACTAAAGTAAAGGAAACGCAGAAGGTATGTGTAAAATATATTTATAAATTGAACTATTTACTGTATTTAGATGTTTTCAGATATTCAATTGGTGGTGTAGGCAACGTCGGTGGATGTGTGGCAATGGAAAACTTCCTAAACCGTAAGTATTCATAGAAGTAATACACATGACAACTTTGAGCCACTTATACCTTTTGAAAATGTTAGGAACAACTAAGGAAAATTGCGAGTCTCTGGCTCCTGCTACGAAGAGGAAGCGCGAGACCTCGGACGTGTGGCAGCATGTCAAGAAAACGGCCGATAATAATAAAGCAGTAAGCATTTACTGCGGAAAAATGCTTAAGACAGGTGGAAACACTACCAACTTGTGGGACCATGTACAGAGAAATTCATCCAAAGAAAGCAACAACAGACAAAGTTTCTGAACCAACGAAGTTGGATGCGTTTGTGTTGCGAAGTGTCGAGTATGTTTATGTTTATCAATAAGAACCAAACCATTTTTTGTTAAACTTATAGAAAAGTTTTGAATTTTTTTTGCTTTTACGAATAAAGCTTTTAATTTTGTTATGAAATGAACCAAATCTTTTCAATTAAATCAATTTAATTTTTTTTAAAATTGAATTTAGAGCAAAAAAAAAATTGTTTCTATTTATTTAAAACATCGATGTTTCATCGATGTTTTTTTTGAAAACATCGAAAAACATCGATGTCCAGGAACATCGATGTTTCTCCACCTCTACATTGTAACACACTGTTTACTTCAACACACCTCCTCAAAAGATACATAGATCTAACAGTTATAACAATGAAGAATATAACTTATATATATAGCAGCAAGCCGAGCATTCTGGGAGTTACAAACTACAGTCCAACATTTGTTGCAAAGGGTTGGGGAAAACCCAGAAAAACCCAACCAGACCATATTACTTAAATATTATAAATTTACAAATTATACATTAATTCATCTTTACAAAATCAAAAAAAAATAAAAAAAAATTATACTATTCATTAGTATGTTGAGATCAAAAAGTAGTTTAAACAAGCTTCATTAGTTCATGAGTCCCAGTTGTTCTCGCAGGTAGACGAATCGAGGTCCAGGCAATGGCTTCGTCAAAATATCCGCCAGTTGTTTATCTGTGGAAATATACTTAATACAAATTAGCTTTTGTTCAATTTGCTCTCTTGAGAAGTGATATTTAATATCAATATGTTTTGTTCTTTTGTGGCATGTGGGATTATTAGCAATGCTTATACAACCTTGGTTGTCTTCAAAAACATTTATAGGTTCATTAAATTCTAATCTAACACTTTTAGCTAAAGACTTTAACCACATAGCTTCTCTCGTAGCCTCAAATAATGCCATATACTTAGCCTCAGTAGATGAGGCTGCAACTGAATTTTGCTTTCTTGTATTCCAGCAAATAAGGGATGAACCAAACATTTTAAATAAATAACCCGTTGTACTCTTTCTATCATTTTCATTTCCAGCCCAGTCAGAATCAACGTATCCAGCAAAAATATTTTCATGATTTATACTTTTTACAAAAGTTAGCTTAAGATTGTTTGTGCCTTTCAAATATCTTAAAACTCTTTTTAGGCATTGCCATAATTCTTTATTATTTTTACTGGTATATCTACTTAAAATTCCAACAGCTGTGCTCAAGTCAGGGCGAGTACATAACATTATGTACATTAAACATCCAATTACATTCCTACAAGGAGCATTATATACTTCATCTGAATTTAATGCTTCATAATTGAGTTTACTTGTTAGTGGAGTACTAACTGGGTTGCAATCATCCATGCTAAATTTCTTTATCGAGAAGATAAATACAAGGATCTACAGCAGAACTAACAAATCCAACTGTTTTCAAGATTTTCTCGAACATTTCATACCAGCATCTAGCTGCTTGTTTCAGACCATAAATTGATTTGTTAAGTTTGCAAACTTTGTCATTTTTACATTCCAATCCTTGGGGAACCATCATATATATTTCCTCTTTCAACTGTCCGTTCAGAAAAGCAGTTTTCACATCCATATGATGTACTTTTAAATCAAACTGATTTGACAATGACATAATTAAACGGAAACTAGTTATTCTAGCTACAGGTGCAAACGTTTCATCATAATCAATCAGGTATTGTTGTGTGAATCCACGTGCCACAAGTCGTGCTTTATACTTTATTGGATTGCCCAATTCATCATTCTTGATTGTAAAAACCCACCTACAATCAACAATATTTGTATCTTTGGGTTTTTCGACCATGGTCCAAGTTTCATTTATAATATGAGCAACTAACTCTTCTTGAATTGCTTGATCCCATTTCAACTTGTCATTTCTTCCTTTTAATTCATTATATGAATTTGGGAGGTCATTAAAAAGAGTTTGTGAGTATAGTAGACAACTGTTTAAAAGTCTATAAGGCCACCAGTAGGTGGCTTATCTTTAAGCCTTTCACTTTTTCGGACTTCAGGTTTTTCTTCCAAACTACAATTTTGGAAACAAGGCTTGTCTTTTTCCTTACTCTCATTCAGGATATGACTGTGACTATTTCCCATACTTTCATTCTGGGCATCAACATCATCTGTACTATCATTCGAGACTTCAAAATTTATATTTCCCATACTCTCATTCTGGGTCTGAACATATATATTTCCCATACTCTCATTCTGGGCAACAATACCATCCATACTGTCATTCTGGATCTGAAAATTGATATCTCCCATACTCTCATTCTGGGCAACAATACCATCCATACTGTCATTCTGGATCTGAACATTGATATCTCCCATACTCTCATTCTGGGCAACAATATCATCCGTACTTTCATTCGGGATCTCTGAATCACCATTAGGATCTTCAATTACCAAAATTTCAGTACTATAGTTTGTTACATTAATTTCGTCTACGATCACATCTCTAGCTACAACAAATTTCTTTGCTTCCATAGCCCATAACTTTAAACCACTAGGTACATAACCAACAAGAATACCCTTAAATGATTTGTCATCAAATTTCCTTTTTCTTGTTTTGTTATGCACATGCACAATAGAACCGAACACCTTTAGATATTTCAAAACTGGCTTTCTACTATGCCACATTTCAAATGGCGTTTTCTTTTTATCATATAACGCATTGGTTGGACTTCTGTTTATCAGATAAGTAGCTGTTAATACAGCTTCTCCCCAAAACCGTTTTTCCAACTTTGCGCCATTTATCATGGCTCGAGCTTTTTCAGTAATTGTTCTTATCATTCGTTCAGATACCCCATTTAATTGTGGTGTATGTGGAACTGTTAAGTGATAACTAATTCCCTTTTGAACGCAATAATTTCTCATCTCATTTGATAGATATTCTCTCCCGTTGTCTACATACAGATTTACTACTTTAAGATTGAAATGACTTTCACTCTTTGCAACAAAATCTTTGAAAAAGTAGAACACATCAGATTTATATGTTAATAAATAAGTCACACAGTAATGAGTGAACTGATCAACAAAAATCACATAGTAATTTTTGCCATCTATTGTAGGGGGTGTAATCGGACCACAGACATCTGAGTGTATTATAAATAAAGGCCTTTTAATATACTCTTTATTTTTAAACTTTGAAAATGGTAATCTGGCTTGCTTTCCATTAACGCAAGCTTCACATATATCATTACCAAATTCAATGTTATTTAACAAATTTATATCTTCACACATATTGTTTCTCTTTAACTCTATTAATTTTCCCTTGCTAATATGTCCCATTCGCTCATGCCCCAATTGATACATATTTAAATTATTTTTATTAGTTATATATGCTCGATGGCATAGTTCAAATTCTATAACGGGAACATCATAAAAATACGTACTTTTAAAAATAATTTTTCCGTCCTTAGTAACGGTCACACCTCCTGCCGAAAACACAATCTCCATACCAGCATCTTGCATTTTCTTAACCGAAAGAAGATTCTGAGGAATGTGCTCGCAGAACAGCACGTTCTCGAGGGTGATTTTTGATTTTTGGTCACTCTGTAGCTCCATAGTACCTTTGGCTGTTGCCTGTATGTACTCGCCGCATTTGGCAATTGCGATCTCAATTGGCCGCTCCAAATCTTTGCAGTTTAGCAACAGACTTTTTGTATTTACCATATGGTCAGAAGCGCCTGAGTCCAAGATAAACGAAATGGAGTTCACATTTTTGTTCGGTACATTGACGACCCTTTTTAGCATAAAGGCAATGTGTCTATCTGGGTGGTGTGCATTGGCCGTGTGAGCTTGCTTGCCATTTTCATTTATATTATTTGTGTAATTATTATTATTATAATTCTTTTGCCCCCTTTTGAAACTGAAACAGTCCTTTTTAATATGTCCCATTTTATTACAGAAATGGCATTTCATATTTGCTCTTTTATTCATTTTGTTCTTAAAATTGTTTTTATTTTTGAAGTTATTATTTGTATTAAATTTATTTTCCTTATATCCATCATTTCGAACTGCTTGTAAGACTTTGAAACTGGTTTCTTTGTTAGAACCTTTTAATTTTATTTCCTGATCTAACAGCCTATTTTTCACGAACGCTAAGGTTAAGTTTTCTTCTGATAAAGTTTCTATCGCAGTTATAATGCCATCATAGCAAGAGGGAAGTGTCATTAGCAAATGAGACACCCTGTCTATCTCTTCGATTTTTCCACCCGAAGACATTAGTTCGGTTACTAAGTCATCAAAAATTTGGAAATGATTCTTGAGCGTTGAATCGGATTTTAATTTTAACGATAATAGTTGCTTCCTAATCGAAAGTGTAGACGCTAAACTTTTGCGCTCATATATGTTGTCCAAATTTTCGAGAATTTCCGGTACACCCTTTGGTTACAAAACTGAGAAATTAATCTCCTAAATATTCGATAATTAAACTTTTCGCGACTCTTTCGGCCTTTTGCCACTGATCAGTTTCTTCATCTGGTTTTTCCCGGTCGATCACCTTTAGGACATCATTTTCGGACAAGAGCGCTCTTATTCTAAACTTCCAGATCGAATAATTTTTACCGTTGAAAAGTTGTATATTCCTTTTTATTTTATCCATTTTATTTTATTATTCAGTTTGCTCCCACACACCCCCGCGCCGACTCCTATACACATACAAGATCTTTGAGTATGTACACACGCTAATGCATACAGCAGGCGTCGTCGTCCCACACACAAGTTTTGAAAAAATGCGGTTCTGGAAATTTCCGCGTGGTAACACACGAACACAATTTTCGTGTAAGCGTCGCTGACACACACACACTAGCTTTGCAATAGTAGTGCGGTTCTGGAAATTTCTGCGTGTGCACATATATGTACATACAATTTTTGGGCAAGCGTTGTCAGGTTTTTACAAAATTTCCAGGAAATATATATGTATATACTCACGCACAATTGAGATTTACTTAGGATTTCCAGCCAGGCTTCGCTTCATCTCCAGAAATGCGTTCGTGTATGCACACATATGCAATAAGTTGCATACGTGACTTCAGGCGTCTCAAAATTATCAGCATACACACATACACAGCTTTTTAGTAGTTTTGATATTAGGAATTTAGTTTAAACGCGATTAAAAATACTTGGTGACTGGGCCCATAACCTGTTGGTTTATCTAATATTCTGAGTAATAACTAAGACGGTTTGTGTAATACTTTTAAATGTTTCTTAATGTTCTTTGTATATAGCCGCGGCTTGCATGCGCACAGTTCAGAGTCAGAGATAGAAGAGAGAGATCAAACTTAAGAGATGGCCTATCGTCAATTCCAACTATCGATACATCATCAATTCCAACTATCGATACATCATCGATAAGATCTTTGTCTCTTTTGTATGTAACACACTGGTTACTTCAACAGACGTCGAAGAATGCATGACCAAAAAAAAAAGAAAGTTTTAGAGAAAGCAGGTTTGTATGGAATGAAGATTAAGTGGAAAAAATGTAGTTTTCTGCAGCGGCGTATTAAGTTCTTGGGACACATTATCGAAAATGGTCAAATCTGGCCAGCAGAAGAGAAGTGTTCTGCTGTAAACATAAGACGGTCGTCGTTAAACTTCTCTACCACCTTCTGACTCAGTAATTCCATTAGTCTGTCTTCTGATTTGCTATTCATCTTGATGCCGAACATGATTTCGAATGGGGATACTTTCGTCGAAGTGTGAATGTGGGAGTTCATCGCTTTTTGCAAAGAAGGTACATACTTGAACTACTTTGACGGTTCTTCTGCTTTGCTATGATCGAAAGGATTAAGCGGATTGAGGAACTCAGCAAACGCGTTGGCCGTGAATGCAACGCATCAGTCGCTTATCAGGCGCTTCGGAAATCCGAATATGTTGGACCACTCGCTCAGCTTCGTTATGTCCTCTTCGCAGCCTGTAGAATTCGTTGGAAACAGCCAGAAAAACTTTGAAAATCCATCCACTACTGCCAGAATAAACTTATACTGTTTAGACGTCGCCTCCATCGGACCCAAGTGATCGATGTGCACCGTATGGAGTGGTACATCGCCCTTGTCGATGCAATGCAAGAGGCCTTCTTGCCTGGCGGTCTTTTTCTGAGAATAATACAACTTATACAGTTATATATCAAATTATTTACCTTCCCCTCTAAGTGGGGGATGTAAAACTGCTGCTGAATGTTGTGCATCGTCTTTGTCGTTGCGAGGTGACCAGTGTCGCGTGCAGTCTTAATCACCACTCTCTCCATCTGTTTCGGGACTACCAGTAGCTCGTGTCCGACCACTTCTTAATAAAGTAGTCCACCTTTCAGCTTGTAGTTCTCATATGCACCGTTTCTCGAAAAATTTTTTTTTATATCATTGTCGCTCTGCTATGCCTTCTTTAAACGTTATGATATCTCTGATGTAATGACGTAGACTTGAGGATAACGACTTAGAGAGTCCACATGCTTCATTTTGTCTGCCGTTCGATGTTCCATTTCGAAGTCGAAGTCCTGCAAATGGAGCACCCACTTCTCTTGGTATGTCAAGCTTACTCGTCGTCTGCTTGAATGCGATACAATCCGTGACCTAAACTTTTTAAATGCCAGATATGCAGATTTTACCTCGAGTTTGTAACTATGTTGCTTAGATTCAGCTTGCGTCGTCTTATGGCTCCAGAATAAACCGGGTGAAGCTTACCATCGAACATGTGCAATAGAACTGCGCCGTAGCCATCTTTGGACGCGTCAGTGTGAAGCTCGGTTGGCGCATCCCTTATATAAATTCGCTAAACAGGCTTCGTTACAAGAAAGGATTTCAACTGTTTGATCGCCTGTTCTTCCTCTGGTCCAATCTTAAAATCAACGTCTTCTTTTAAGAGATTTGTAAGCGGACGTGCTACCTGCGCATATTGTGGTACAAACTTGCGAAAAAATCCTGTAAGCCCCAGGAATGCTTGGATGGCCTTGACGTTTTTCGGCATAGCAAAGTTGCGAAATGAAGCCAGGCAAAAAATACAGCAAGCGCAGAAGACCTACAAGCGAACCCAATTCGTTGCAGGTCGAAAGCTGGCGAGTTCATACCTTGGTCCGTATGAGATGGTAACGACCGTATGAGATCGTAAGCGTAACGGACGATACGACGTGAAGAAAGCAGGCCCGGACATCGAAGGACCAAACGTGACAGCGACTAGCTGTGACATTCTCAAGCTATGGAAGTTTGTCGAGGAAAACGAGGAGCTTTTGTCATCCGGGACGGATAACGAATGTCAGGAAGGCCGAATGTGTCGCGCACACAAGTGCAGACCTCCCCGAGAGAGCTCAGAGCATAAAGGAGAGCAAAAAAATGATTACTTTCGAGGGCGGAGGCTGACGACACCGTCTGCAGCACAGTGGATTACCAGGTCACATGCGGCATTCCAAAAGTCTCTGTCCTCGGCCCGACTCTATGGAACGTACTCTGCGATGCTATCCTCAAGCTCCAAATTCCTGGCGATTCTTGGACAGTAGGTTTTGCAGACGACGTGGCTTTGGTAGTGGTGGCCAAGCACCACAGAGAAGTGGAGGACAGGTGCAACCAAGCGGTGGCCGTGATCCAAGAGTGGCTGACATCAGTGGGCCTAAGGCTGGCTGAACACAACACAGAAGCGGTGTTGACTTCCAGCCGCAAGAAAGTGGAGGTTGCGACGATGCGAGTTGGCTCCGTCGAGATCACATCCTCGCGAGGAATCCAGTACCTTGGGGTACTGCACGACTCCGCAGACTCCTGCATCACTCAGTTCGAAACGCGGTCATGATATACGAAGCTCCAATCTGGGCTAAGGCGGCGAGGATCAAGTCCTACAGTAAAGGACTAGACGCGACGTACAAGTTAGGAGCCCTGTGAGCCTGCTGCGGCTTTCAAACCATCTCGGAAGATGCGGCTCTGGTCATCACCGGAATTCTTCCAGTGGTGGACCTAGCCGAGGAATCTAGGGAAATCTCGTTGGAGCTCGACGTTCCCACTCAAATGACGGATAAAGACGGCGGCGAGGGAAAGAAGCCTAGTTTGCGACGACGCAAACTGCCCGACGATGCTACGCATCGAGGATTACTGCGGCTGCGCAACAGCGTAGAAGGAGGGGTCTAAATCGACCCGCCAGTCGCCTTCGAAGCAAAGCTTTGCGGCAGTTCCGCAGGTTTCTGGCACCACCCACCTTTTTCACCTTTAGTTATAATATTTCTTCCATCTACTGTTACCCTATTTTTATCCAATAATAAATAATACAAAAAAAAATTTAAAAAAACAAGGAGTCATTGAGTCTGGCTGGTCTAATATGGGCAGTTTACAGTGTATTTTATAAATAGTACCTTTGAGTCTTTAATCATTATTGAGCTCTATGTAAAAATGTATATATGTGGCTTCCTGTGGACACAATAAAACTGATACTTCTATCTTTGCATATGACTGCGCATGTTGCCGAAAATAACGAACTGACCAGAGCCAAACTAAAGGTTTATACTAATGAATATGTTCCATACGGAAGACCAACACCTATCGTCATTACAATGCAAGAGCTTCCTGTTAAGTATTCAATTACTGTACACCTTAGCACTCCCAGCTACCTAATAGCTTTCTTTGAAGTGGGAAAGGTAGCAAAACCAATGCAGCCGAAATTTTTAAAAACCCTATCAATAAGCCATCAGATTTCTTTGCTCAGAATTAAGCCTCGAATAAAAATTCTCTATGATAAGGGCTATTTCGCAAAGATGATGGCCACTTTTTGGTCTGCAAATGATAAGGTAATTACACTACAAGGTCAATTGCCTTCACAGCCATGGGTACATCAAGTCATCGAGATCGTTGAAATTGAAGTCAATCTGCCAATTCATTGTACGCCACAGCTAGTAATATTAAAGGGCTCAGACCCCCAATTTCCAATACAAATTGCCGTCAACCGCAGAATTATCATTAGTGTACTCTTTTTGGAAACATGCAACATGACAATCAGAGCTAGCTATAGATGGTATGTGACTGACGCAGCTGAATTAAGTAAGTTTTTTAAATCTTTTATTTGTAGCCTTCAATTATTTATAGATTTGTCCACCCCAAAGAACACTTTTCAAAATACTTTACAGATAATCCTTTGCTGCTAATTAAACGATATTCGTTGAGGCTTCAAACTATGCATGAAATTTGGAGAAACTTTCTAGTTTTGTATGTTGAGGGAAATTTTAATGGTTATTCCTTCGCGGCTCGGTGCTATATGAAGGTGGTCATGGGTCAAGTGGAAGCTGTTATCGAAGGCGGTGAATCAAGACGTGCTGCACACAGTGAAATTCTATGGATTAACGGATCACTGAGCCGTGATTATTCCAAAAAATACGGGGTCAAACAGTTTTCTACTTACAATTGGAGCTGTGACTCATGGGATGATTATCGAAATCCATTCTGCTATCATAATATATCCTCGGGTGAGATATTTAAAGAAATTAATTTACATTTTTGCAACACTTACAAAGTCGGGCAGGCTCCGGTTTGCACTTTAACAAAACGGTTTTTCAAAACGAAGTCAGGCGCTCCCGGATTCGTAAAACGAAAGACTTTTCCGTTTTCAAAACGGCAACATTTCTCGCCAAAATAAACAATTAACGGTTTGTTTTAAGAACAAATCGAATCTTAATTGGAAAATAAAAAAATGGATTAATGACTAATGCATTGACATGTATTTGATACCATTACCAGGGCAATTGAGCTTGTTAAACAATTTTTTTTAATTAATCTCAAAATTGGATTTGAACAAACTGTTCGAATAACAACAAATAGTGAATTCCTCCGAACATCTGTGGCAGCCCGATTTGGCTATCGATAAATCTCTGTTATACATAACAGACGCCTTTTTGTACGAGCTGGCACTAACGCGTGGGTATAACAGCAGAAAATTTTACGCATTACAGTACAAGGAGTAAATAAATCGATTTTTGTGGATTCCAGAGTGGTTTAAAATGAAAATTATGACTTATGCTGAAAAGTAAAAGCAAAGTGAATGTGAAAACCGGAGCCTGTCTGTATAACAGCTACAGTACAGCGAAAAAGCAGAATCACGCGGAATCATCGTATGCTACATTATCAATTTGAGATCAGATCGGATACTTATTAAAGCTAGAATAGAAAAAAATATTTAATATTTAATTCTCTTCACCCTAGAAGTGGAAAAACATCGATGTTTTCGATGTTTTAGTGAAAAACATCGAAGAAAAAGAGATGTTTTGCAAGATAACAAAAAATATATCAAGAATATATAGTAAACTGCAAAGCATATTATTAAAATTATAAAAAATAACAGTTTTATTTCACTAGAGATCAGTAGTTCCTAAATGGATTCTGAGAAATATATATATAAAACGAGAAGGAACGTGTGAGTACCTTTTGGGACGCGACTCTACTTATACCCGTACTCAGTCAGTACACAATTCTGAGCTTATGATTTTTTAGAATTTTAGAATTAAAAAAAATATTTTACATATAACATATTTTTGCTACATATGTTATCTACATCTACTATGTATATTCTACATCTAACATGTAGATTATATATGTACCATATAGATTCTACTTCTATTTCGCTAGAGGGCGCTTGCGTACATAACGAGGCAGAGTGTGCGAGCGAGAAAGAGAATGAGTAGCGGGTCTGTGGCTGGTGGTGGCAAGGGAAGCAACTGAAATTTAATTTCTTCATTCTGGCTATAATTATGATCCCATCTGATTTCTGATTCGGCAATCTGGTAGATATGGTCTTTCTCCACGATTCTGCGTTTTCAGTTTTATCGTATCTTTAAAATTGTTCCTGTCACAGATTTTCGTTCTTTGTGGGGGCGAAATTTACTTGTAGCAGTGTGATGTCACATGAGTCTGGAAACCAAATTTGCTTACCCTAGCTCTTATAGTCTGTGAGATCTAGGCGCTCATCAAGACAGACAGACAGACGGACAACAGACATCTACTTTTACCACAAATCTAATATACCTCTTAACTCTTTTTGAGTACGGGTATAAAAATGTACATTTTCCAGATTATATCTTAAAATAAGTCTAGAATCTTGCTGAGAAATAATAATTGGTCCACCACTTCCGGCTTAAGGCGGCTACGACGATCGGAAATTATTTGCCCAGCCTTGCTGAACTTCCTCTCTGACTCACAGGATGAGGGGGTCGCACAAATATTTTTGGGCTGCAGCTTTAAATAGTATCATGCCGTCTGTATTCAACTAAAAAGGAACCTTTTGAGCTTGATCTTCTTCTCTTTTTAGCTTTTTCTTTCATAAAGACGACATAAACATAAAAATAAAACATCGATGCTTATAAATATTTTAAGCCTAGTAATCAGATCGGAAAACTGTTTGCTAGCAAACAAATGTCATATATTCTTCGAGCGACCAGTGGTGTGACCAGAGGTGTGCACTGCATTCCGAACGGTTACACTACTCAGACCGCTGCTTAGTTTTGTTTAAAGTTAACAAAATGCACTTCTTCGGCTGGGGCCTTCTCTTATTGCAATGTTTGCTGGCAAAAGATATCAAATTTATATATTTTTCGAGGTGGGTCGAAACATACAAAAAAAACAAGCAAATACTTCTGATACTTTTCCGGTATATACCGACCTTTTTGTTTTTTGATCTGAGTACTGCCTTCCGTACAGAGGAAGGCTTCCTAGAAAACAGTTTTTGCCGTAAAACATTTCTTATCGGTTTCATACGAATATCAACCCTGATTCTGTTCGCTAGGTGTTTTTTTCGATCTGAGTACTAGGCTTTAAAGACATCGATGCATCGATAGTGTCGTCGATGTTTTTCCACCTCTGGAGAGAACAGTCTCTCGACACCTACGCGCCTTTACACAACCGTCATCAAACCCTCAGCTTTGTACCAGCAAATACACGCCAATTATATTTGACGCCCCAGACTATTATTTATTGGAAATCCGGGCTGTGGGAACCACCAACATCCACCCTAATACAAAACACTTCACTTTTCTGCACGCAGGCAGAATGAGTTAGTGAAACTTATTTGATTATGAATTGATTCAAAATTTAATTTTAAAAAAAATTGTAATTTTAGAAAACAAAAAAAATTACGAGTAGATCCGTTTTGTTTGTGGAGCGGCACTTTGCGATCGAGTGCAGTAATTGGCCGTTGTGTTTGTGGAGCGCCACTGTGCGTCTGCCTCGCAGGTGTCCGTCGTGCTATGATGTGGAGTGTTGAGGCTCTGCACCGGACACTAGTAGAAGGCAGTTGATGCGGAGTTGATGCGTTCCGCTAGTGTGTTGGTGTGAATCCGGGGGTGAGCAAGCTGGTTATGACTGTGGATGCTGTGCTGTCCACGCGAAAAAACCCAGGGGTGAAAAATCGGCCCAAGTCAGAGGATCCGCAATTGCACTAGCAAGGTGCGTGTTGACGAAATGGGAATGCTGAGATCGCTAGACGTAAGCGATGTCCAAAAAGGTTTTTATACACACTGCCGAGGAAAGAATCCCGTTTAATATAGCTAAAACCACCAAAATACGGTGTGGCACACGTACCTTTGTTTGTGTCGAATCCAATTAAACAATATAATGATCGTTTGGATCAGGTTAAATGCTGGATGCCACAGGATAAAGATTTTCTTTCTTTTCACACACGTAATTGACTTTACGATTTTGCATGCAAAAGAAAATAGCAGAAGCCGCAACAAACGAATTTTTGAGAAAGAGAGTGGGGGTACAGCTGCAGTTTTCTTTTATAGACCGGCATTCCAGAGCTTTCTCTCTGCAGCCCCTCGGAAAGAGAGAGTGACAGATGAGTGACAGGTACATCCAGACGCACTGAGAGAGCTTTTCCAAGCTTCACTGCTAATCACAGCTGGTATAGCTCAATCATTCAGCGCACTCTATGTTTTGCATTTCCAACGCAGCGACAAAAATGTCGCCACCGAAATGCGATGGAAATTAAACGTTATTTTTCAAAACTTAAAACGGACCGCTGGGCGCCCGTTACAACAGCCATGTCACTATCTTTATTCACGTACTTGCAGATATATTTGATTGATTTTACGGAGTGGCAATATTCTAGATTTATGTGTGCTTTAAATGTTTTGGAGAGTAACGGCGAAAACGGAACAACCCAACGATTATCAACTTCAATGTCATGCTGATTCACTTTGACTGTTGTTGTCCTTCCGTTGTCGTCAGTGGATCGCATGCGATAACCATAGTTTCTGCTACTAATTGTCTTGGAAAGCGCTTTAAACATTTTCCATTCACCATACACGGAGAATTTTGATTTAATGTTCCACAGGGACTGTTTGGTTACGCAGCCAAATAATCAGTAGATCATAGTCAGTGGTGCAGCATTAGAGTAAATATCTATTATTGTTCAGCATTTCTACTGCCCACTGCTTAACTTTGTCATCTACATACATATGTACATATTCATGCTCCCGCACGGCAGCAGCCTATGCCGCCGTTCCCTCGTGTCTTCAACTCACACCTTTCTTTCTATCGCCTTTCGCTATCACTCTCTCGATCTGTCGCTCTCTCTAGCTCTAGCATTAGGGCACGGGCAATTCGGCCCCCCTGCCCTTTGAATTAGTCTGGATCTAGAAACCACTGCACATCGTCTTGGAATCGACCTATTCAATCCGACACCGTCTTGTACCGACCCCCGCGTCTATAATCTGACCCCGTCTTGAATCCAGCTAACTCTCCAACCGACTCGTCATCAATCTAACTCGAACCTTTTATACTGTTTACAACAATAAACCATATTTAATCTACACAAACATTGTCTCGTTAATAAACATATAGCAATACTACGCTAGTGAAAAAGCTCGCTAGCTCAACTGGGACCATGAATCATATTTTTTGTAACAATCTCATATAACAATGGATCTTCATCATTATTAGGAATTTCCGCAGATATCACATCGTCAATTTTATCCGGTCTTATCCTCTCTACCAACCAATTCAGGATGTGTTCATGTGGAAATCCGCGTATTTGCATTCGACTGAATACATCCAACATCGCGTTTCGCCGAATACACAATGCTTAACAATGTAATCCATGAGTGATTTAAACTTTCTTTTGAACGCCCTTGCGGGTATGACGTGGCGATCAATGGGTGATTGGCCATGAAATAATTCTTGTCTAATTGCTGTCCACTTTGAATTGCATGTGAACGTTATAAGCAAGTCTGGTGTGCTATAATTACGTACATACGAGCGTCCTGAGCGTATTCATGCATATGTCACGGACTTCCGACGTATGTTGCTGGGAGAATAGTTGTTCTACCTACATTCTGTGCATTCTGTGCGTTTCCGTCAGCTTTGATAGCATCCCGAAGATGAATGTATTCTTCAGAACGCAGTTTTGCCTGGTTCAACCTGATAAATGTCAATCGCTCCGTTTCAACTTTCACGTACATATTCACAGCATATTGGCAAATTTAATATATGATTGTCCTCATTTTCCCGAACCATCAGTCTGCATGAATAATAATTCATTGAACTATGTTTTTTTTTATTAGTTTCTAGACCTGTGACTGGATTTATCATCTTCATTGAAAAATAATACCCATCTTGTCAAAATAAGATAGAATATTGTCAAGCATTATATGATCGATGTGTTTCGGATACACGTTGCAGTTGATTGCAGCTCTCGGTTTTCTAAATTTTCACCCACGATGACAATAGCGACTTCGTTAATTGTTGGCGCATTAAAACGTCTCGCGTGTTCTCCTACAGGCGCCTTATCAGCTTTGACGACAAATCTGTAGTTATCAGACGGCATGCGGTCCAATGCGGTCGTGAATAATGCAACCAATTTATGTTGATTATGTTATGTTGATGGAAAAACGTTTCGAGTTGTTCCACAATTGGCCTTTTTACCGAATTGTTGTGTGCACAACGCTAATCGACTTGTCTTGCTGAATCGCCCATAAAATAAATTTGCAAAATTTTGAGTCACTATCCGTAGTTGGCAATAATGAACCTGTTAGATGATATATTTGACCCTGAATCTTGAAAGTTATCATAAAATTGTTTTGAATAACTTTTGTTGCGCCAAATGATGTCATATGAAAGCAAATTATTATATTACTGGATATTATTCAATAAATGATTCGAATTTGGCCCATTTCCTGAAACCAATGAATGTAGTGGCTCTGATGGCGGTACCAATGGTATCAATTTTACTTGACCGCTCGCGCAACACAATCCAGTAGCTCCATTTTTTATAGCCGTACTCAAAAAGAGTTAAGGGGTATATTAGATTTGTGGTAAAAGTGGATGTGTGTAACGCAGAGAAGGAAAGGTTTCCGACCCCATAAAATATATACATTCTTGTTCAGCATCAATAGCCGAGTCGATATAGCCATGTCTGTCTGTCCATTTGTCCGTCTGTCCGTCTTGTTTGACGCCTGGATCTCAGAGACTATAAAAGCTAGAGAAACCAAATTTTGTTTCCAGACTACGATACGATAAAACTAAAAACGCAGTATCGTAGAGAATGCCCATATCTACCAGATTGCCGAATCTGAATTATATCGGATCATAATTATAGCCAGAATGAAGAAATTAATTTTCTTTTGGTTCTTTCGCCCCCTCCTGCCAGAGACCCGCTACCTATCTCTTTCTTGCTCGCACACTCTGCCGCGTTCAGTGCGCGAGCAACTCCTAGCGGAGAAGATGTAGAATCTAAATGGAACATGTACAATCTACATGTTTGATGTAGCTGTAGATAGCAGATGTAGCAAAAAATGTAATATGTAAAATGTTTTTTTTTAATTCTAAAATTCTAAAAAATCATATGCTTAAAAATGTATATACTGACTGAGTACGGGTATAAGTATAGTAGCGTCCGCAGAAGGGACTCGCAGTTCATTCTCGTTTTTTATTTTCCATACTTCCCACGCGAGTCCCCCCGAACTCGCCATCACACCACCGCACGGATCCGTTGCCTCCTCAGAAGCCTTCGTGCCACTTCATTTCAGCCCCTGACTGAGTGAGTAAGACTTAACGGTCGGTGCTTCGGTGTTATGAATATATATATGTATGTTTCCAATATGGAAACAATAATTGTGTGTAAAAACGATAAGCGGAGTTCCTTAATATATTATAATTATATTTATTTAAGTTACATAAATCTTAACTTAAAATAGATAACTAATTTCTTTTTCAGTTGACGCTTTTATGATTCCTGCGTACTCCTTCAAAAGTGGATGCAGTTATATCTTTCGTCTGCTATTATCTGAGGATGACAATCCTAATCGCGGTTCACTAAAGGTGCAGACAATTACAATGACAGACTACAGAATGCTGCACGTAACGATCGAATGTTTATTCAACTGTGCAATGAACTTGTTTAGCCCTTTTTCTAATGTGCGCCTTACTGCTAGATGCGCAAACTGCGGAACTCAGAAGGTTAGATACCAGTGGTATGTGGGTGGTCAGCTCACTCTAACTAGCAAAGACCTAAATTTGTATATACGCACCGTAGCGAATTCTTCTATAGTTCAGCTTATAGTAACAGCACAAGATGGTTGGTTTGGTCAGGACATTAAATATCTAACCAAAAACTCTGGTCCGACTATTGGAAAATGTTTTGTAAATCCAACAACAGGTCAAGAAGCGCTAACACCATTTTTTCCGTGCTGCAAGGATTTCGACACGAAGAACAATCCTATAGAGTATTGGTATTATGCCGGACATGTACTGCTTGATAGTTGTTATGACTGTAGTTGTGAAGTGCACTTACCAGTTACTAATTTTATTAAAGTACTTGTTTGTGATAGCTTTCAAGCATGCCGCACTAACTTGATAAAGGTTAAAGTTACGGCACTGCAGAATGTTCCCGCTCAGCCTCCGGATGTTCTTTGGAAATATATTACTGATTCACCCCATAATATTCTTAATCTTGTTGAGGAAGGTCAGTGTCTTCGGTACTTTCAAACAATACAGTCTATTGCTTCGCATATAAATCACATTGACTCCGGCCTAATATTGTTACGTACTTTAAATGGCATTTATCCACAGACGCGTAATTCTCTTGGAAAATTGGCAAACTTGACATTAACATTAGCACATCGTTTACAACCTATAGATACGAAAGAACAGGACTTGCTTGCCAATGTGGTGCAATTAATGAACAATAATTTTCAACGTTTATACCATAATGATATGATATACCTACTGATTGAACAGCCGCTTATTCATGTTACCCAGGCATGCGTAACCGTCTACCACATGATGAACCATATGTGTAAACAAACACCCCAACCAGCCCAGTCTATTTATGATCAGTACCATCGCGCTCTTAAATCAGGAAAGCTTGTGCAAGCGTTTTTTGATAAACTGTTGGCTGAAATTAACAACTTTGATGATGAGCAGGATAAGTTTAGATCTTTAACTTGGCTTAAGTCCACGTGGGAAACACAACGACTATTTTCCTATCTAAGATATGCTCATAAGCATGGTCTACAGGCAGATACCAGTGAAGAGGGAGTAGCACTGGAAATACAATGTTTTTCATTTGAGCGGGATCAATCATATAAAATTGACACGAGCGACAGTATGCACAGAGTTTTTTTCTCTTCAGACCTTCTGAAGGAAGTAAAAGAAAACAACAAGGATTACATATGTCTTAAAGTAGTATCTACCCAACGTGAGTTGAATTGGTGGTATCCAGAAGAGAAACAACCAAGTACTGTTCTGCTATCTGTTCGTATTTTTTATCATGAAGATCATTTTAATGTAGAGACTGTTCTTAAGCACAGCGAAATTAGTTTTACTACAATTATAGGAAATCCCATGCAAGCTAATTTGGGAAGATCTTCAAATAATGTGCGGGCAACGGATTTTAATTCTTCTAAAATGTTGAAATACATTAATACTGACGACGATAGAGGAAGATGGACATCTATTGGAGCTAATTCAATACGTTTGGCCGGGAAGGCAAGATCACAGGTAGATCATAAGTACATTGATTGCCGTGAGGAGGGTATACTTCTAGAAATGCAAGATGTACGTATGTACCGTATTATGCTTGAAGAGAAAACAATGCTGTCCGTACGGTTTATCAGCAGCACGCACAAGCTTCGAGTATTGCTAAAAATTCAAGAACAACCACTGTTCTCGGATATATCAAAATCCTTATGCATTGTTCCGGCTTATTCAAGAAACAAGACTTTTCTATTGCGAAACAATTGTATGCAGGGAAAACGGGCATATATGGCAGTACGAGTATGGGAAAAATCTCAACAAAATATTCTCCAAAAAACACCAGTACGAAATGGGCCGGCTAGATTCGTCTTTGTTTTTCAAATGCGTAGCTGCGATTATTGGATGTACAGTTTGGCAGCAGATGAACAACATTGGGCCCACGATGGTTGCTATCCATCGTTGGATTTCGGAGTTGAAAATGGTATGCATTGCACGTGCAAAATTTTGGGCACATATACCAGCTATGTATACAATGTTCCCGCTATAATGGTGCCTGTTAATCCGTATGCAAATGTGGAGCTTAACCTCATAATTTTATTATTTTATTTACTAATTACTTCATTTTTATTAATTTGGTTATTGTGGGTGTACTTGTATCGAAACATTCCACTCAGCAAAACAGTTGTCTGTCAAATGGTCGACTTGGAAGACGATTCAGCAAGGGAAGTACATGATCTGTTAATCCATGTGAAAACAGGCGGACGAGTTAATGCTGAGACGACATCTTCGGTGAAGTTATCACTTTTTAGTACGCAATACAATGAGATGCAATTTACGCTCGTTCAGGATCCCGAACATCTAGATCTACAACGAAATACAACGTATATTCTCTGGCTACGGACGCGCGACATAAGGGTACCTACCAAAATTGCCGTATCACATAATAATGCCGGTCGATTTCCCAGTTGGTTTTTGCGACGCATTGAGGTAAATGATGTTCAGACCCAGGAGACGCAGGTCTTTGTTGCCCGTAGATGGGTTAAAGGAAAGATTTTAATTTTGACATCGGTCCTGATCTTTAAACCTGGCGATGTGAGAGTAGTTGGATCTTGGAAACGTAGATTTCGATTATACTATGAAATGCTTTGGACCAATTGGGCGATGTGGCAGCCAATAACCGGGAAATGGAGAGAAACAAATACTTTTCCTAGTATGTCACGAGCTAAACGCTTTTGTGTGTTTATCAGTAAGCTTGTAATAACATACTCAATCTGCGCTTGTTATTTTCTACCCACAACTCCAGACAGTTTGCAATTGGACCGAGCTAAATTCCTTAATTACGAGGACTTTATTAAACTTAGCGTTATTTGCAGTTTTGTGGGACTGATTGTACAATTAATTTTTGAATGGATAATACGCCAGTATGTTTAGCGATTTATTAAAAAATATTTTAGAAGCACACTGCCTATTTTCCAAAAGCCTATTATTAACACTTTTTCAGTGTTTTTTTGCGTATCCGGTAAATAAGTGTCTTACTTATCGAAAAGGTATTTTGGTAATATGGTAGAATAGTGTACTACTTATCGAGAAGGTCGGTCAGGGTTTTGGAATGGGGTCTGCCGGAAGTTCAGTGATTTGGGAATGGGGTTGGTCGTGATTGTATTGCGGAAAGTGCTGATTAAATGTGGGAATTGTGCTTTCTTTTGCTAACCCCACCAGTGGGTCGCATGTATGCTATAATTAGGTGACCCGAGGGTTATTACAGCTTTTCTAGTATAATTCATAGATCTTAGTCTAACAACGTGGTGTCTAGGCTAGATAGGTTATGGTGTGTTGATGTATGTCTTATACCTGTTGTTCATAAACATGAACAGGAACCATACAGGCCACCCATAAATAATACTGTCCACTTCAAGGAGGCCACTTGAGAAAAGGGACACCTAAATCTAGGATCGGTTCGACCATAAAGTCATCTACATGGGTCGCGTCGAATCCAAATCTGTCGACACACTTGTCGAACAGTCACACACATTTTGTCAATATCAAGGATGGTCGTGGGAACAAATGCCGCACATTTTTTCTTTTCTTAGCGTTGGTCTTAGTTTAATTATTTTAGAGTTTCCTATATATAGTGCATAAGTTTTGAGAATAAAACAGTTCGGATTTACAACTCGTCTCAGTAACATCAACACCTATAGAATATAACGGCCCATTGTTCACCATGGGCAGTATAATGAAGCCTTTCTTAAAGTTGTCGAGATAATCAAATATCACGAATGTCGTGAAGAACTCGATAAAGTTCGAAAAGGATCTAGAGTTGGTCCTTGTCTTCAGCGGTTGAACCAATTCATCCATGAAGACACTGGTACTTGCTGTAGCTGTTGAAAGTAGACTAGCTAAAGCTCCTAAATTATACGATAACAAGTTTCCTTTGCTTCTGACGAAGCGCTCGCAATTCGTGCGAAGCTATGTTCATACTATACAAATTTTCATATCAGCCCACGTGCACTTGTGAGTATCCTTCAACAGAGTTTTTGGATCGTAAACGCTCAGGAGGACTGCAGTCAGACAATTCAATCATGTATCCGCTGCTTTAGATGCAAGCATTTACTGTGTAAGCTACCCGTAGCTGTAGGGCGTTAAATGTTTTAAAGTACCCAGTGGATTTGAAACTGTGCGCCTAACAGCGCAGAAAGGGCAAGCCACGCCATCTAGTGCAACTCGACCCATTTGGGTGAAAGGAGACCAAAAGTTGACAGGTGAAGAGTCGAAAAAGTAGGTTTAGAGAGTCGACGCAGAATGGCGATCGGTCTTTTCTTTTGTGGACGCCGACAAGTGAAGACCAGTGTTAGTGGTACCTACTTATATAAAGTATAGAGCAGATACGAATTAAAAGAAAAAAAATATTGTTTATTTCTATTCAGGTTTTAGAATAGTTTTGCTAAATGAACTTTAACAAAAAAACCGAGTTTGGTGGCTGCAAATTTTATATATTTAACGAAAGACGGAGGGAGACTAAAAAAGGGACGTGCGCTCGAATTCAATACTATTTATCGACTCTTTTTTCCTTCTCGTTATAAATATTCTTAAGCCTAACTTATCTAGGGCGGCGAAGCGGGGCGAATTCGCCAAGAGCGAGAGAGAGTTTTATTGCGCTCCCGCTTTGCCCTAAACTATCTTACACTAGACTTCAAATTTTCTCCAAATAAAAACATTGCGTCTTGACGCGACACCGGCCCCGTTGAAGGCCTGTGGGACTTCAACACATCGGCAGAAGCGCCAATTTATGGATCGGCCTCCTGTAGACCGCTCCGCTGCTCGTCCTGAGGTCGACCACCCTGACCTTTCCGTCCTGCCCGGCGTGTGTTGCGACGACCCTTCCGAGGAGCCACTGTTGGGGCGGAAGGTTGTCCTCTGCGACGATGACGAGGTCGCCTTCCTCGACGTTGGGCTGCTCCTGGTGCCACTTGCATCTTATTTGCAAGCCCAGCACATACTCCCGGGACCATCGCTGCCAGAACATTTGCCTGGCTGACGAGACAAGCCGCCATCGCCTTAAGCAACTCAGACCCTCCTGGTCCGGGGTGCTGGGGGTGCGATTAGCGGCCCGCCTGTCAGCAGGTGCCCGGGAGTCAGGGCGTCTCCGTCGCTTGGGTCGGGGCTTATTGATCCCAGAGGGCGCGAGTTTAGCACCGCCTCGATGCCCACCATCACGCTCTCCAGCTCCTCGGCGGTGAAGAGCGCGCTTCCGGCCGACCTCAGCAGGAGGTTTTTGGCCGACTTCACTCCTGCTTCCCACAGTCCGCCCATGTGCGGAGCTCGAGGTGGCAGGAAGGCGAACTCGCAGCCGCTTCTCGCTGCGAACTCTCGAATTGAGTCCGCTTCCGTCTTCAGCGTCCTCCTCAGTTCGTCGAAGTGGCGACTTGCTCCGACGAAATTTGTCGCGTTGTCGCAGTTCACGCGGAGCGGACATCCTCGACGACCAACGAACCTTTGAAAAGCCAATAAGAAGGAGTTAGTCGTTAGATCGGAGACAATTTCTAGATGAACCGCCTTGGACGCAAAACAGACAAATAACGCTATGTAGGTCTTATAAGGGGGCCTACCACGAATTTTTAGTGTCGTATAGACTGGGCCACAAAAATCAACGCCACATACTGCGAATGGGCGGAGAGCACGGAGCCGGTCTGCGGGTAGATTTCCCATCATTTGGGTCTGGAGTCGAGGCTTGCATTTAAAGCAGCGAATGCACGACCTGACCATTGCCCTGCAGACCTCCTGAGCGTTTACTATCCAAACACGCTGCCTAAGGATGCTCACAAGTGCTCGTGGGCCGGCATGAAAATTCGTTTGATGCAGATAGCGAACATAGGTCTGCACAAACTGCGAGCGTTTTGTCACCAGCAAAGGAAACTTGGCATGGTATGACATAGGATCGTTAACTAGTCGCCCCCCAACTCGCAACAACGAAAAGGAGCACCAAGTCCCCATTTCTTCGTTGATGAAGGGATTCAATCGCTGAAGACTGGGGCCTAACCTGGTGCCTTTACGAACCCTTTCGATCTCTTCCTGATACTCGTTATTTGGATCAGCATGACAATTTTGTGAAAAGCCTCATCGTACTCTACTGGTGACGGACTGACTTCAAATTTAAGACTTTTGTCTTTACATTTTCGGATGAAGCGGAACACGTAAACGAACACTCTTAGCAGCTTGAGGTGTGACGAGTATCCCTCGATAATTTCCACTAAATCATTTGATTTAGCGGCCACGGTCAGTCCGACCGCTGTCTTCCTGGTTTCCAGCTTCAGCTCTTCCTCAGAAAGCTCGAAGTGGGGATTTCTGGGCCAGCTCTCTTCTTCTTCCTTCAAAAACGCTGGTCCACTAAACCAGATCGACTGCGAAATCTCCTCAATGTCACAACCTCTCGAAACTATGTCTGCTGGGTTCTGTTTAGTTGGAACATGCCGCCACGTAGCATCATCTGACTCCTGAATCTCAGCTACTCGGTTCGCAACGAATGTTGATAACGACGAAGGGTGGGATCGGATCCAATGAAGGGTCACTTCCGAATCCGACCAACATACCATCCGTTCAATCGGCACCTCGAGTAGCGATTTGAGTCGGTGACAGAGATCTGCGAGAAGGTGAGCGGCACATAACTCAAGCCTTGGAAGCGTTTTCGTCTTGAGCAGCAGCCTATGCCGCCGTTCCCTCGCGTCTTCAACTCACACCTTTCTTTCTATCGCCTTTCGCTATCACTCTCTCGATCTGTCGCTCTCTCTAGCTCTAGCATTAGGGCACGGGCAATTCGGCCCCCCTGCCCTTTGAATTAGTCTGGATCTAGAAACCACTGCACATCGTCTTGGAATCGACCTATTCAATCCGACACCGTCTTGTACCGACCCCCGCGTCTATAATCTGACCCCGTCTTGAATCCAGCTAACTCTCCAACCGACTCGTCATCAATCTAACTCGAACCTTTTATACTGTTTACAACAATAAACCATATTTAATCTACACAAACATTGTCTCGTTAATGAACATATAGCAATACTACGCTAGTGAAAAAGCTCGCTAGCTCAACTGGGACCATGAATCATATTTTTTGTAACAATCTCATATAACAATGGATCTTCATCATTATTAGGAATTTCCGCAGATATCACATCGTCAATTTTATCCGGTCTTATCCTCTCTACCAACCAATTCAGGATGTGTTCATGTGGAAATCCGCGTATTTGCATTCGACTGAATACATCCAACATCGCGTTTCGCCGAATACACAATGCTTAACAATGTAATCCATGAGTGATTTAAACTTTCTTTTGAACACCCTTGATTGGGTGATTGGCCATGAAATAATTCTTGTCTAATTGCTGTCCACTTTGAATTGCATGTGAACGTTATAAGCAAGTCTGGTGTGCTATAATTACGTACATACGACATAGCATCCTGAGCGTATTCATGCATATGTCACGGACTTCCGACGTATGTTGCTGGGAGAATAGTTGTTCTACCTACATTCTGTGCATTCTGTGCGTTTCCGTCAGCTTTGATAGCATCCCGAAGATGAATGTATTCTTCAGAACGCAGTTTTGCCTGGTTCAACCTGATAAATGTCAATCGCTCCGTTTCAACTTTCTCGTACATATTCACAGCATATTGGCAAATTTAATATATGATTGTCCTCATTTTCCCGAACCATCAGTCTGCATGAATAATAATTCATTGAACTATGTTTTTTTTTTATTAGTTTCTAGACCTGTGACTGGATTTATCATCTTCATTGAAAAATAATACCCATCTTCACCTTGTCAAAATAAGATAGAATATTGTCAAGCATTATATGATCGATGTGTTTCGGATACACGCTGCAGTTGATTGCAGCTCTCGGTTTTCTAAATTTTCACCCACGATGACAATAGCGACTTCGTTAATTGTTGGCGCATTAAAACGTCTCGCGTGTTCTCCTACAGGCGCCTTATCAGCTTTGACGACAAATCTGTAGTTATCAGACGGCATGCGGTCCAATGCGGTCGTGAATAATGCAACCAATTTATGTTGATTATGTTATGTTGATGGAAAAACGTTTCGAGTTGTTCCACAATTGGCCTTTTTACCGAATTGTTGTGTGCACAACGCTAATCGACTTGTCTTGCTGAATCGCCCATAAAATAAATTTGCAAAATTTTGAGTCACTATCCGTCGTTGGCAATAATGAACCTGTTAGACGATATATTTGACCCTGAATCTTGAAAGTTATCATAAAATTGTTTTGAATAACTTTTGTTGCGCCAAATGATGTCATATGAAAGCAAATTATTATATTACTGAATATTATTCAATAAATGATTCGAATTTGGCCCATTTCCTGAAACCAATGAATGTAGTGGCTCTGATGGCGGTACCAATGGTATCAATTTTACTTGACCGCTCGCGCAACACAATCCAGTAGCTCCATTTTTTATAGCCGTACTCAAAAAGAGTTAGGGGGTATATTAGATTTGTGGTAAAAGTGGATGTGTGTAACGCAGAGAAGGAAAGGTTTCCGACCCCATAAAATATATACATTCTTGTTCAGCATCAATAGCCGAGTCGATATAGCCATGTCTGTCTGTCCATTTGTCCGTCTGTCCGTCTTGTTTGACGCCTGGATCTCAGAGACTATAAAAGCTAGAGAAACCAAATTTTGTTTCCAGACTACGATACGATAAAACTAAAAACGCAGTATCGTAGAGAATGCCCATATCTACCAGATTGCCGAATCTGAATTATATCGGATCATAATTATAGCCAGAATGAAGAAATTAATTTTCTTTTGGTTCTTTCGCCCCCTCCTGCCAGAGACCCGCTACCTATCTCTTTCTTGCTCGCACACTCTGCCGCGTTCAGTGCGCGAGCAACTCCTAGCGGAGAAGATGTAGAATCTAAATGGAACATGTACAATCTACATGTTTGATGTAGCTGTAGATAGCAGATGTAGCAAAAAATGTAATATGTAAAATGTTTTTTTTTAATTCTAAAATTCTAAAAAATCATATGCTTAAAAATGTATATACTGACTGAGTACGGGTATAAGTATAGTAGCGTCCGCAGAAGGGACTCGCAGTTCATTCTCGTTTTTTATTTTCCATACTTCCCACGCGAGTCCCCCCGAACTCGCCATCACACCACCGCACGGATCCGTTGCCTCCTCAGAAGCCTTCGTGCCACTTCATTTCAGCCCCTGACTGAGTGAGTAAGACTTAACGGTCGGTGCTTCGGTGTTATGAATATATATATGTATGTTTCCAATATGGAAACAATAATTGTGTGTAAAAACGATAAGCGGAGTTCCTTAATATATTATAATTATATTTATTTAAGTTACATAAATCTTAACTTAAAATAGATAACTAATTTCTTTTTCAGTTGACGCTTTTATGATTCCTGCGTACTCCTTCAAAAGTGGATGCAGTTATATCTTTCGTCTGCTATTATCTGAGGATGACAATCCTAATCGCGGTTCACTAAAGGTGCAGACAATTACAATGACAGACTACAGAATGCTGCACGTAACGATCGAATGTTTATTCAACTGTGCAATGAACTTGTTTAGCCCTTTTTCTAATGTGCGCCTTACTGCTAGATGCGCAAACTGCGGAACTCAGAAGGTTAGATACCAGTGGTATGTGGGTGGTCAGCTCACTCTAACTAGCAAAGACCTAAATTTGTATATACGCACCGTAGCGAATTCTTCTATAGTTCAGCTTATAGTAACAGCACAAGATGGTTGGTTTGGTCAGGACATTAAATATCTAACCAAAAACTCTGGTCCGACTATTGGAAAATGTTTTGTAAATCCAACAACAGGTCAAGAAGCGCTAACACCATTTTTTCCGTGCTGCAAGGATTTCGACACGAAGAACAATCCTATAGAGTATTGGTATTATGCCGGACATGTACTGCTTGATAGTTGTTATGACTGTAGTTGTGAAGTGCACTTACCAGTTACTAATTTTATTAAAGTACTTGTTTGTGATAGCTTTCAAGCATGCCGCACTAACTTGATAAAGGTTAAAGTTACGGCACTGCAGAATGTTCCCGCTCAGCCTCCGGATGTTCTTTGGAAATATATTACTGATTCACCCCATAATATTCTTAATCTTGTTGAGGAAGGTCAGTGTCTTCGGTACTTTCAAACAATACAGTCTATTGCTTCGCATATAAATCACATTGACTCCGGCCTAATATTGTTACGTACTTTAAATGGCATTTATCCACAGACGCGTAATTCTCTTGGAAAATTGGCAAACTTGACATTAACATTAGCACATCGTTTACAACCTATAGATACGAAAGAACAGGACTTGCTTGCCAATGTGGTGCAATTAATGAACAATAATTTTCAACGTTTATACCATAATGATATGATATACCTACTGATTGAACAGCCGCTTATTCATGTTACCCAGGCATGCGTAACCGTCTACCACATGATGAACCATATGTGTAAACAAACACCCCAACCAGCCCAGTCTATTTATGATCAGTACCATCGCGCTCTTAAATCAGGAAAGCTTGTGCAAGCGTTTTTTGATAAACTGTTGGCTGAAATTAACAACTTTGATGATGAGCAGGATAAGTTTAGATCTTTAACTTGGCTTAAGTCCACGTGGGAAACACAACGACTATTTTCCTATCTAAGATATGCTCATAAGCATGGTCTACAGGCAGATACCAGTGAAGAGGGAGTAGCACTGGAAATACAATGTTTTTCATTTGAGCGGGATCAATCATATAAAATTGACACGAGCGACAGTATGCACAGAGTTTTTTTCCTCTTCAGACCTTCTGAAGGAAGTAAAAGAAAACAACAAGGATTACATATGTCTTAAAGTAGTATCTACCCAACGTGAGTTGAATTGGTGGTATCCAGAAGAGAAACAACCAAGTACTGTTCTGCTATCTGTTCGTATTTTTTATCATGAAGATCATTTTAATGTAGAGACTGTTCTTAAGCACAGCGAAATTAGTTTTACTACAATTATAGGAAATCCCATGCAAGCTAATTTGGGAAGATCTTCAAATAATGTGCGGGCAACGGATTTTAATTCTTCTAAAATGTTGAAATACATTAATACTGACGACGATAGAGGAAGATGGACATCTATTGGAGCTAATTCAATACGTTTGGCCGCGAAGGCAAGATCACAGGTAGATCATAAGTACATTGATTGCCGTGAGGAGGGTATACTTCTAGAAATGCAAGATGTACGTATGTACCGTATTATGCTTGAAGAGAAAACAATGCTGTCCGTACGGTTTATCAGCAGCACGCACAAGCTTCGAGTATTGCTAAAAATTCAAGAACAACCACTGTTCTCGGATATATCAAAATCCTTATGCATTGTTCCGGCTTATTCAAGAAACAAGACTTTTCTATTGCGAAACAATTGTATGCAGGGAAAACGGGCATATATGGCAGTACGAGTATGGGAAAAATCTCAACAAAATATTCTCCAAAAAACACCAGTACGAAATGGGCCGGCTAGATTCGTCTTTGTTTTTCAAATGCGTAGCTGCGATTATTGGATGTACAGTTTGGCAGCAGATGAACAACATTGGGCCCACGATGGTTGCTATCCATCGTTGGATTTCGGAGTTGAAAATGGTATGCATTGCACGTGCAAAATTTTGGGCACATATACCAGCTATGTATACAATGTTCCCGCTATAATGGTGCCTGTTAATCCGTATGCAAATGTGGAGCTTAACCTCATAATTTTATTATTTTATTTACTAATTACTTCATTTTTATTAATTTGGTTATTGTGGGTGTACTTGTATCGAAACATTCCACTCAGCAAAACAGTTGTCTGTCAAATGGTCGACTTGGAAGACGATTCAGCAAGGGAAGTACATGATCTGTTAATCCATGTGAAAACAGGCGGACGAGTTAATGCTGAGACGACATCTTCGGTGAAGTTATCACTTTTTAGTACGCAATACAATGAGATGCAATTTACGCTCGTTCAGGATCCCGAACATCTAGATCTACAACGAAATACAACGTATATTCTCTGGCTACGGACGCGCGACATAAGGGTACCTACCAAAATTGCCGTATCACATAATAATGCCGGTCGATTTCCCAGTTGGTTTTTGCGACGCATTGAGGTAAATGATGTTCAGACCCAGGAGACGCAGGTCTTTGTTGCCCGTAGATGGGTTAAAGGAAAGATTTTAATTTTGACATCGGTCCTGATCTTTAAACCTGGCGATGTGAGAGTAGTTGGATCTTGGAAACGTAGATTTCGATTATACTATGAAATGCTTTGGACCAATTGGGCGATGTGGCAGCCAATAACCGGGAAATGGAGAGAAACAAATACTTTTCCTAGTATGTCACGAGCTAAACGCTTTTGTGTGTTTATCAGTAAGCTTGTAATAACATACTCAATCTGCGCTTGTTATTTTCTACCCACAACTCCAGACAGTTTGCAATTGGACCGAGCTAAATTCCTTAATTACGAGGACTTTATTAAACTTAGCGTTATTTGCAGTTTTGTGGGACTGATTGTACAATTAATTTTTGAATGGATAATACGCCAGTATGTTTAGCGATTTATTAAAAAATATTTTAGAAGCACACTGCCTATTTTCCAAAAGCCTATTATTAACACTTTTTCAGTGTTTTTTTGCGTATCCGGTAAATAAGTGTCTTACTTATCGAAAAGGTATTTTGGTAATATGGTAGAATAGTGTACTACTTATCGAGAAGGTCGGTCAGGGTTTTGGAATGGGGTCTGCCGGAAGTTCAGTGATTTGGGAATGGGGTTGGTCGTGATTGTATTGCGGAAAGTGCTGATTAAATGTGGGAATTGTGCTTTCTTTTGCTAACCCCACCAGTGGGTCGCATGTATGCTATAATTAGGTGACCCGAGGGTTATTACAGCTTTTCTAGTATAATTCATAGATCTTAGTCTAACAACGTGGTGTCTAGGCTAGATAGGTTATGGTGTGTTGATGTATGTCTTATACCTGTTGTTCATAAACATGAACAGGAACCATACAGGCCACCCATAAATAATACTGTCCACTTCAAGGAGGCCACTTGAGAAAAGGGACACCTAAATCTAGGATCGGTTCGACCATAAAGTCATCTACATGGTTCGCGTCGAATCCAAATCTGTCGACACACTTGTCGAACAGTCACACACATTTTGTCAATATCAAGGATGGTCGTGGGAACAAATGCCGCACATTTTTTCTTTTCTTAGCGTTGGTCTTAGTTTAATTATTTTAGAGTTTCCTATATATAGTGCATAAGTTTTGAGAATAAAACAGTTCGGATTTACAACTCGTCTCAGTAACATCAACACCTATAGAATATAACGGCCCATTGTTCACCATGGGCAGTATAATGAAGCCTTTCTTAAAGTTGTCGAGATAATCAAATATCACGAATGTCGTGAAGAACTCGATAAAGTTCGAAAAGGATCTAGAGTTGGTCCTTGTCTTCAGCGGTTGAACCAATTCATCCATGAAGACACTGGTACTTGCTGTAGCTGTTGAAAGTAGACTAGCTAAAGCTCCTAAATTATACGATAACAAGTTTCCTTTGCTTCTGACGAAGCGCTCGCAATTCGTGCGAAGCTATGTTCATACTATACAAATTTTCATATCAGCCCACGTGCACTTGTGAGTATCCTTCAACAGAGTTTTTGGATCGTAAACGCTCAGGAGGACTGCAGTCAGACAATTCAATCATGTATCCGCTGCTTTAGATGCAAGCATTTACTGTGTAAGCTACCCGTAGCTGTAGGGCGTTAAATGTTTTAAAGTACCCAGTGGATTTGAAACTGTGCGCCTAACAGCGCAGAAAGGGCAAGCCACGCCATCTAGTGCAACTCGACCCATTTGGGTGAAAGGAGACCAAAAGTTGACAGGTGAAGAGTCGAAAAAGAAAAGTAGGTTTAGAGAGTCGACGCAGAATGGCGATCGGTCTTTTCTTTTGTGGACGCCGACAAGTGAAGACCAGTGTTAGTGGTACCTACTTATATAAAGTATAGAGCAGATACGAATTAAAAGAAAAAAATATTGTTTATTTCTATTCAGGTTTTAGAATAGTTTTGCTAAATGAACTTTAACAAAAAAACCGAGTTTGGTGGCTGCAAATTGTATATATTTAACGAAAGACGGAGGGAGACTAAAAAAGGGACGTGCGCTCGAATTCAATACTATTTATCGACTCTTTTTTCCTTCTCGTTATAAATATTCTTAAGCCTAACTTATCTAGGGCGGCGAAGCGGGGCGAATTCGCCAAGAGCGAGAGAGAGCTTTATTGCGCTCCCGCTTTGCCCTAAACTATCTTACACTAGACTTCAAATTTTCTCCAAATAAAAACATTGCGTCTTGACGCGACACCGGCCCCGTTGAAGGCCTGTGGGACTTCAACACATCGGCAGAAGCGCCAATTTATGGATCGGCCTCCTGTAGACCGCTCCGCTGCTCGTCCTGAGGTCGACCACCCTGACCTTTCCGTCCTGCCCGGCGTGTGTTGCGACGACCCTTCCGAGGAGCCACTGTTGGGGCGGAAGGTTGTCCTCTGCGACGATGACGAGGTCGCCTTCCTCGACGTTGGGCTGCTCCTGGTGCCACTTGCATCTTATTTGCAAGCCCAGCACATACTCCCGGGACCATCGCTGCCAGAACATTTGCCTGGCTGACGAGACAAGCCGCCATCGCCTTAAGCAACTCAGACCCTCCTGGTCCGGGGTGCTGGGGGTGCGATTAGCGGCCCGCCTGTCAGCAGGTGCCCGGGAGTCAGGGCGTCTCCGTCGCTTGGGTCGGGGCTTATTGATCCCAGAGGGCGCGAGTTTAGCACCGCCTCGATGGCCACCATCACGCTCTCCAGCTCCTCGGCGGTGAAGAGCGCGCTTCCGGCCAACCTCAGCAGGAGGTTTTTGGCCGACTTCACTCCTGCTTCTAACAGTCCGCCCATGGTATGACATAGGAGCGTTAACTAGTCGCCCCCCAACTCGCAACAACGAAAAGGAGCACCAAGTCCCCATTTCTTCGTTGATGAAGGGATTCAATCGCTGAAGACTGGGGCCTAACCTGGTGCCTTTACGAACCCTTTCGATCTCTTCCTGATACTCGTTTTTTTGGATCAGCATGACAATTTTGTGAAAAGCCTCATCGTACTCTACTGGTGACGGACTGACTTCAAATTTAAGACTTTTGTCTTTACATTTTCGGATGAAGCGGAACACGTAAACGAACACTCTTAGCAGCTTGAGGTGTGACGAGTATCCCTCGATAATTTCCACTAAATCATTTGATTTAGCGGCCACGGTCAGTCCGACCGCTGTCTTCCTGGTTTCCAGCTTCAGCTCTTCCTCAGAAAGCTCGAAGTGGGGATTTCTGGGCCAGCTCTCTTCTTCTTCCTTCAAAAACGCTGGTCCACTAAACCAGATCGACTGCGAAATCTCCTCAATGTCACAACCTCTCGAAACTATGTCTGCTGGGTTCTGTTTAGTTGGAACATGCCGCCACGTAGCATCATCTGACTCCTGAATCTCAGCTACTCGGTTCGCAACGAATGTTGATAACGACGAAGGGGGGATCGGATCCAATGAAGGGTCACTTCCGAATCCGACCAACATACCATCCGTTCAATCGGCACCTCGAGTAGCGATTTGAGTCGGTGACAGAGATCTGCGAGAAGGTGAGCGGCACATAACTCAAGCCTTGGAAGCGTTTTCGTCTTGAGCGGCGCTACTTTCGACTTTGCGGTCAACAACGAGACCTTGAAACCTTCTGCAGTCTTACTACGGATATAGACGCATGCTCCATAAGCTCTCATGGAGGCGTCGGCAAAGGCATGTACTTGTATCGGTGACATGGGATCAGTATGCACAAAGCGCGGTATGGCAATCTTCTCCAGCTGACCCAAGGATTCTTTTAGAAAGTTCCAAGATGTTTCCAGATTCATTGGAATTGACTCATCCCAATCTAGTTTGTTAAGCCACAGCTCCTGCAGTAGGATCTTTCCCTTGATTACCAAGGGGCTTAACAAACCAAGGGGGTCAAACAGCTTTGATGTCACCGATAATATGTTCCGTTTTGTCGCTCGGAGACCCATGACTGAACTGTCAATTTGAAACCTAAAGACGTCTTCATGCGGTAGCCACGATATTCCCAACGCCTTGGGGAACGCCTCAACTTCAGGTGAGTTCGAGAACCACTTGGTCAGCTCAAACCCTGCGGTTTGAAGAACCTGAGCCACATCAGACTTAACTGTCTTTAACTCCTCCACGCAACCAGCACCAGTCAACATATCATCGACATAAAAGTCGGACCCGATAACTTTAGCAGCCTTTGGGAATGAGAGCTTTGCAGACTCACTCAACCTTTTCAAACACCGAATAGCCAAAAATGGGGCAGGTCCAGTCCCATATGTTACAGTGTTGAGCTGGTATATTCTCAAGGACTCAGATGGGTCTCTTCTCCACACGATCAACTGAAGCTGCCTGTCCGCTTCATTCACCATCACTTGGCGATACATCTTTTTTACATCGGCAGTCAGGGCGAACCTGTGCAGACGGAAGCGAAGCAGCGTTGAGTATAACTCCTCTTGAATAGTCGGTCCGACCATCAGAATGTCATTCAAGGCCACCTGAGATGACGTCTTCGACGACGCATCGAACACGACACTGATGTGGAATTACGTAGTGTGGAGCAGAAGGATAAGTATTGTCAGTCGGCGACATATGACCTAAGGAGAGGTACTCTTCCATGAATTCCAAGTACATTTTCTTCAACTCAGGGTCGCGGGACAATCTTCTTTCGAGCGACAAAAACCGCCGTTTAGCCATCTCGAAGGAATTGCCTAAGCAATTTGGATCGGATTTAAACGGCAGCCGTACTTCAAACCGACCTGAAGGCAAGACTTGAGTAGTCTTTCAATAATGCTCCTCACATAACTTGTGTTCAGGAGTTAAAGGCTTTTTAGAAGATGGCAATTCTTCTAGTGACCAAAACTTTTGTAGTGTGTTGTCGATAGACACCACTGACTCTTCTCGACAACTCAGACAGTTCCTCGCTTCCTGGGTGACAGTCACCTTTGGACTGTATCTTCCAGACACAATCCAACCGAGAAGCGTTTTCTGCAGAGTTGTATAATCAGGACCTTGTCTAATTTGACCAACCGATAAGAGTTCGAAAAATGACTCTGCACCTATCAACATATCTATTCTTTGTGGCTTGTAGAAATATGGGTCTGCAAGAGGTAGGTTCTTCGGGATTTTCCAGTCACTCACATTAAGTGCGTGATCAGGGTGGTATCCCGAGATTGACTTCAGAATCCAGAAATCGACCGAAAACTCACTACCATTGATTCGCGACTTCACCACCGTGTGTATCTTTTTCTTGACTTGTGAATTAGATTCTCCAATTCCAAGCAAGTTGATGCACGACTCCTCCCTACGGATCTGTAAGCGCTGTGCCAGGTCCTCAGTTATGAAGTTAGTTTGTGACCCAGAGTCAAGCAGTGCTCGGGCCAAAACATACTCTCCATTTTAGTTCGGACGCTTACGCTCGACGTTGCCAGAATTACTCTATCCAAAGCTGTCGCATGGAG